AGAGAGAGACACACACACAGAGAGAGAGAGACACACACACAGAGAGAGAGACACACACACACACACACAGAGAGAGAGAGACACACAAACAGAGAGAGAGAGACACACACACAGAGAGAGAGAGACACACACAGAGAGAGAGAGACACACACACAGAGAGAGAGAGAGAGGGGGAGGAGTGTATGTTTGTGTGCCAGTGCCTCTGTGTTTATCAACATCACTAATTAGCTTAATCAGAAACACCTGTGTCCTTGCAGCCTTTTCATGGAGATAAAACAGAGAAACACCTCTCAAACAAATCCTCAAAACTCCCATAACCGTAGCTCCTATTGCTCCGATATTAATAAATGAGAGGAAGGATGAGTTGAAGAACAGATCCTGTAAAAATTGTGTCTGTAGTGTAAAAAATGTGGCTGAACTGGCGATCTAGAAATGGGGTACCGTGTTCCGTGGTAGATGTTTTTGAAGCAAAATTTAACATTGGTCTCTATGGAGCAGAAAGTTGGTTTTCCTCTCAATTACAGGCTTCTGTGCCAAATGTGTAAATCTGTGGGATTCCACAGTCATTTGTCTACGACAAGGACAAGATTAGCTACTTTTAAATCCAGAAATTATGCATGAAGAGTGAAGATTGTGGACACAGTGGCAAAAGACAAATCTTTTTTTCGCAAGAATCTCAAGCTGCTCTTCACTCTAGCGGTGACATCACGCACTCTAAACTGTGCAATACACACCCATTATAAAGTCAGAAAAGCGCTGAAAAAATCATAAAAGTTAAATTGCTGCAGTTCAAAAAGTGTAAAAGATATAAAAATGCTGAATAATGTGGCAATAGATCAGGGTTTTCTCAACATTTTAAAGTTGAAATGGTGTCTGTAGCGGAAAATATGAGGAAGTTGAAGGATTTGGAAGTTTAAGAGGATTTGAACATTTTCTCCATTGAAATCCCATTCAAAATAAAAATTGCAAAAAGCTGAATAATTCATGAAGCATAAGAGATAGAAATATGAAAAGTCATAGCATAAATGTCATTAAAGAGCTGAACATTTTGATAGTTGAACGGTTTCTGTAGCTTAAAATATGAAGGAGCAGAAGAGGTGGGACGGAAGAAATATAATAATAAAAAGAAGAATAAAGATTAGGATAACAATAGTTGGAATGCTTAACAGCATTCCAACAATAAAGATTCGAAGAACAATAGTTGGAATGCTTAACAGCATTCCAACTATTATTCAATGATAAAATAGATATAACTTTGTGATTCTGTTTAGGCCAGCAGAGAAGGCCTTGAAGGCCCTGACGGCCCACCACTGGTGAATACAGCCTCCGGATGATTCGTCACAAGAATCGTCATGTTTTTAAGTTTTCTTCAGTATCACAGTGATGTTTGTCTCTACATCCATGAGACTCTACTTCCTGTTTCCCACCAGTTTTAAACTTTGACCTTTCTTGTCTTTTTTAGCCTGAAGAAGCCTTTGTTGCTCTCCTGGTTCCTGTTCCTGCTCGTTCTGGTGCTCCTGGTCTCGTGTTGCATCCTGTCCAGCAGCTCTCTGTCGCTGTGGGAGAGCCTTCCCCTCCAGTACTACCACAGGTTTCTCAACCAAACCAGTCGGGTTAATCTACCTCCTCTGTATCGTGTCCATCCCAAACACGGAGTCAAACCAACGGGAATCTATGAAACCACAGAACGCCCTACCGTACCGCCGACCGTGGCCCCTACAGGTGCTCGGTTCCATCAGGCCTACCCACGCAACTACCACTTCATCATGGACAACCAAGAGGTATGCGACACCGAGACTCCTTTCCTGGTCCTGATGGTTCCGGTGGCACCGAAAAACGTGGTGGCTCGGGACGCAATCCGGCAGACGTGGGGCAAAGACAGCGTGGTTCGGGGCCAGGTGGTGCTCACTCTGTTCATGCTGGGCCTCTCTGGAGGAGCTGATGTGCAGGAGAAGCTCCGACAGGAGAATCTCCAGCGCCGTGACTTGATCCAGAGCGACTTCATGGACACGTACCTCAATCTGACCATCAAAACCATGGTGATCATGGACTGGCTGGCCACTCGCTGCCGGTCGGCCGCATACGCCATGAAGGTCGACTCGGACATGTTCCTGAACGTCGACAACTTGGTGGTCATGCTGCAGAAGCCGGGCATCCCCAAGGTTGGCTACCTGACAGGGATGCTCATGTGGAACAGGCCAGTCGTCCGTTCAAAGGATTCCAAGTGGTACGTCCCGAAGGAGATGTACCCGGAACCCCAATACCCCACCTACACTCTGGGCATGGGGTACGTCTTCTCCAACGACCTGCCAGAGAAATTTGTGGAGGTCTCAAAATCAATCAAACCCTTTAACATAGAGGACGCTTATATTGGAATGTGCATGAAGAAGCTGGGACTTGCGCCGACGTCTCCGCCAAATCCCTCCCAGTTCAAGGCCTATAACCACAGATATGATCGCTGTGAGTACTCCAAGATCATCACCTACATCCTCGGGTCGTCACAGGAGTTGGTGGAATACTGGAGAGACTTGAAGAAGCCAGGACCACCTTGTTAGGACAATGACTGCTACAGATGCACTGAGAAGGTTAGCACAGAATTCTACTGTACTGGTTTGTAATTCTCACGCCATCCTCAGGGTTCAGGTCACCATGGTCTCAGAACAACTGCACTATAGAAATGGTCAAGAGAAGACTTTTGTTTTTTTGGAACTTGTGTGTATTTAAAACTCCGTTTGTTGGGTTGTAAACAAAATAAAAATGATAATGAAGGGAATGTGTGTCCGTGGAAATGTGCACGAGTGGAATTAAAGGTGCCCTGAGGAGCTTTTGAACCACTGCTGGTTGTGGTGGAAAATAATCCTTTTAACCTCCCTGTGAGAAATAACCGAGATGAGAAACAGCCACTAATAATAATCCAGCTGAATGGATAGAGCTCTTTCCCCACAGATGGTTCGGAGGTCTAACAACAAGGAATAGTGTAACAGAGTATATATGCACATTATCTGGTCTGTCCTCCCTTCGGAGATGTCCTCCTCCTCTGTCTGCGGCTGCATCCACCAAGACCAGGTTCCAGCCTTGGTATAGTATTTTCGTGGGAAGAGGGTTAAGTGGTGAGATCAGGATGACGCTACAGCAAGCCAGAAATGCTAAAATACCTTTGATATGATAACATGTATTATTAGGTTTTAATTGAGTCTGGTTGGCCTCGTCTGCATATCTTCAGGTGATACAAGTTATAACTAAAAGAAAAACATGATACATTGAAACATGAAACAAAAACACTGGTGTTTTTGTTTTGTCTGTATGTCGGTAGTACTGCTGCAGGGTTACAAAGGCAGAACGTGAACGCTGCCTACCCTGGATACACGTTAGTGCTAACCACAGAGAGCAGTAATTATGCATGTGTGTATATGTGTGTGTTTGTGTCTGTGTGTGTGTGTGTAGTTGGAGAAGCTCACTGCTGCATTGGGATATTAAATGACATCAAACCATTAAAGTACTAATAAATCAATACTCCACCGGGGCCGTTTAATACCGGGTTCCTGAACGCATCTCTACCTTCAGATTACGTAAAATGTGAAAGTCTCTCTAGAGCCAGTATTCAGTTTGTCCGTTCTGGGCTGCCGTAGAAACACGGCGGTGCAAGATGGCCGACTCCATGTAAGACGACCCATACGTAGATATGAATGTCTTTTTCTAAGCTATATAAAACATAAAGATTCTTAGTTTCAGGTGATTGTACACTGATTCAAAGCATAGTTATGAGTATTTTATTCAATATCTGCCAATAAATCCTCCTAAATGTTACACACTGTTCCTTTACCAGAAGGGCCCTCAACATGTATCCACTGAGACAGTGTGTTCCTTCTAGCAGTTACAGAAAGAAGATCATGCAACACACATTGATCCATGTCTCAGTCTCTGTCTAATATGTTTTCCAGCTCACATCTCATAGACCAGCACTTCTCTAACTTACGGAATTCTATTTCGGTTGTGACACACAGGAGAAAGAAGGGGGGCTGTTTTTCATGAGATTATTATTTGATAATCCCAATTTGATTTAATCTTCATGATCCCTTTGTCGGAAGCCAAGACCCAACATTCAGGATTGTTAATTATTGGGATAAATCTCCAGCTGAACATGCTTCCTTCTAGGCCTCTCCAGAGCTGGACGCAACGCCGCAATCAAAATCCAAAATAAATCTCCGTTGATGTGTCGCCATTAATACGTGGTCCGGGAAATTTGAAGCATCATCATATGGTTCGAGTAGCCTTCCAGTCGTTATAAGTCGAGAAAGAAACAGAAGAACAAAAGCTGTAGGAGCTGTACCTCATCACAGACTGGCTATGGTACAAACAATAAAGAATGAATTCAGACTTTTTACAAATCTGCATCATTATGTAGTTATTTCAGCCTCCTTTTTTCAGTTTATTGCAATTAACGTACAGTAAAGTCTGTTTATTTTGGGTTCATACAGCTGTAGTGAACGAGCCGACGTGTACAAAGCAGCACGTTATTTCAGCTGGTTGATGAAGGGAGGCAGCAAGATGAGAGCAGCTAGATGTCACTTAAGATAAGCGCTGAAACCAGAGGTTCATGATCTTTGTAGAGATAGTGTTTATTGTAAAGTGGCCATCCGCTCATGAAGAACAAGCACTTGAAAGATATTTCTACACCGGACAGAAAGGAAAACAACAAAGCCTCTCATGGAACACTTAACGTGGACGTTGATCATGCTCAGGACGTCTTCTGTTGTCTTGAATGGGGCAGTGAAGGTTTAATGTCATGAAAGGAAACAGGGAGAACTGACTTGTACTTTAGCTTCACTAGTGCACTACTCAAACTGGACTGGTTATAGAACAGAAGATCACACGATGTGTTTCCTCCCAGACACGTCAAAGCTTTGTTAAGTTAGATAAGTGAGTGTATTTAATGTGGGCCAGAGGGCAGGAGATGACAGCTCGTCTTACTTGTCTTTGTTTAAAGACAGGATGAGCTTTTTATCAGTCGCTATGTGTGAACTATGGTTGTTTTATCTATGGACGCACCTCTCAATCTGAAGACATCCTCAGTGTGTCAGCAACATGTGAGAGTAAAAGTGTTCGCTCATGTTTACTGCACATCCAGAACAAAACGTCTGATACCAACACTGCATAAATCCATTCTTTACTTCATTAAATAGTGACATTATTTGGTTCAATGTTTCTTTCATGTCTTTATTTGTATGTACTTAAGTTTGTTAAGTTGGGACAAGCTGCTTACAAACGTATTTGAAGTGGAGAAACAAATTCAACTTTTTGAATCTTTATTGGATTCTTAAGTTCTTTAATGTCATATATGTGAGGTATGTTTACGCATTTAGGAAAATCCTTCTTTAGCACTGCTCATATGTTTTACCATTACTTCTTCATCAGGTGTACATCTATATGTTCATGATGGAGTGTGGTTTCACCTCTGTTGTTTGTGACGTTTAAGGACAGCATATCAAGTTGCATTCAAGGTCTGAAGTGTCTCGTGTTGTCCTTGTGTCGTCACCATGTTTGAATCACAGTGTAGGCTACGCTTTGTATTCTTGTTGCAGTTGAATTGCTGCATTTCATAGTAACGTTCCCCCGGCTGGGCGTGTCCAGGGCTGCAGTTTGGAGGTTAATCAGTGACGGAGGCTAGTGGGACACACCTGGTTCTACTGTGCACATTGTGTCTCATCCAATACACTAGTACCACTGACATCATTCACTGAGTCGATGGATTACTGAACAGGCCCCCCCCCCGGCCTTCAGCTAGGAAATGTCACTCAAAGGAAGAATCACAATGACCACAGAGAAAAAATACAACCACCACAAACACACCAACACAACCTCAAAGAGACACAAAGTAACAACAACGAGACGGAAAGTGACTACAAAGAGACACAACATGACTACAAAGAGACACAACATGACAACAAGGAGACACAGCATGACTACAAAAAGACACAACATGACTACAAAGAGACACAACATGACAAACAAAAAGACACAACATGACTACAAAGAGACACAACATGACTACAAAGAGACACAACATGACAACAAGGAGACACAGCATGACTACAAAGGACACAACATGACTACAAAGAGACACAACATGACAACAAGGAGACACAACATGACTACAAAAAGACACAACATGACTACAAAGAGACACAACATGACAAACAAAAAGACACAACATGACTACAAAGACACAACATGACAACAAGGAGACACAACATGACTACAAAGAGACACAACATGACAACAAGGAGACACAACATGACTACAAAAAGACACAACATGACTACAAAAAGACACAACATGACAACAAGGAGACACAACATGACTACAAAGAGACACAACATGACAACAAGGAGACACAACATGACTACAAAAAGACACAACATGACTACAAAGAGACGCAACATGACTACAAAGAGACACAACATGACAACAAGGAGACACAACATGACTACAAAGAGACACAAAGTGACTACAAGTGTGTATGTAAAGAGTAGAGCTGTGCAGCAGGTGTGTATGTGTTTTATGAGTATATTTGTCTCATCTGTAGACTGTGTGGGATTAGGATTATAACAGCAAACTGTTTTATCGTGTATTTATCATGTATCATATAATTTATGACCAGTCAAAACAAACAGATAAGTCTTGATAACATTGAAGTCAGAGGGAAATCTAGTGGTGACAAAAGCACATTACATCATTCATTCAGTCTTTTAATCTGTTTGGGATCATTTGATGAAACGACCCCAGAATCTATAAATCCACACATTGCATCTCCTCTGATGATCCACCTGTGAATGAAATACAAGCCTGAAACTGAGCTGCAAGTTATCACTAATTAAAGTTCAAATGTGCTTATTAAGTACATTTATCTTAGTCTGATCTTAGTTCCTGAACATATATAGGACAATATATATTGAATGCATTTGTTATTTCTTATCAACACTGAACTACTTTAACAACACAACTCAGATGTTCTCTTGTGTCTCTTGAATTATATTTGTGTTATAAAACGATGCAAATGTAAATAATCAGGCCTGCAAGCAATTCACTTCAATCAGTCGATAACCATGAACAAGTCTTTAAAATATCACAACAGATAGTCGATCATGTTCTCCTGCAGCTCGGAGAGTCAATAATCAAATACAGAATATAAAATACAATATTTAAATCACACATGTATTAAATATATACGGAAACATTAAGGATTGAAGATACAACAAAGAAACACTCGGTTCAGCTCCACTGCGCATGTGCGCTACCCACACAGCTCCAGACTGTGGCCCCGCCTTCATTCTGCGGTCTGGTGGGGGGGCAGGTGAGACTGGGGGCGTGGTCAGTCTCAGGTGACGGTGATCCACAATCATCAGAGCACCGAAGAAGAAGAAAGAAGACAGCGGATGAACGCAGACCAGACACAGGTAAGTAACGTGTTGCACCCACACCGACACGCTTCACCTCAACACGGATATCACGTGACTATCCACGTACACCGGGCGTGATGGTGCGGATGTAAACAGGTAGAACAGGTTTAACAATGACTTTAGACGTTTTATTTCTCAGACTTAGTTCCAGCGCTGCAGGTCTTCATCTCTCTCATCATATTTACTTTCATATTAACACTTACACGTGACGTTTACTAGATTATGATCCATGAATGAGGTCAACACACGTCTCTCACTCGAAGCTCTGCTGCTGAAGTCTGTCTACTGGAGAGCATTATGCTTCCGCTCCTTTATAGTTCATGTGTGGACTTCACCAAAGTTCAGAAATAAGAAGAATAAACATGAAGAAGCAAAGTCCTCCGTTTAGTGTCTGTCCTCCTCAGAGCCACTACATGAAGTACTGTGAAGTATAGACGGTAGTACATGCAGTCCTGTGAAGTATAGACGGTAGTACATG